AAGCCTCCCAGCTTTGAGCCTGATCCTTCCCTCTTTTCAGTCTTAGATGTTTAATTCTAGAGGTCATCTTGGGTGGTAAACAGGGGTATCCTGTCATCTGGCAAGCAGGCCTTATTGTGTTGTTTCCTGACTTTATATAGATTCTCCCCCGCTTCCCCCCAGTTGGGAATCCTTTGTGTTCCTTTCTACCTTGGACTATAGTTGTCCCTTTCAAGATATGTAACTAGGTTACCTAATGCTGGAATCGGACTTGGATGTTGTACTTTCTCACTGAAGGGGAGAAAAGTACAATGTCCAAGTTGGGTTCCAGCATCAGGTGACCTGGCCACATGTCTTGGCAGGACCAACCATAGTCCAGAAAAAAAGTATTGAGCCATAAGTTCCTTAAATACTGTTAATGGCCCTTAGCATGTCTAGATTAGTAAAACAGTTTTACAGTTCATATTTCTTCAAATACAGGAATGATATAGGTACATAAATAAAATATACACATTCAGCAGATTTAACTTTTCTAATGTGTTACATGAAGACTTTTGCATAAAGCATATTTGAGTTGTCATATTCATAAACATATTTCCATAAAGAATATGAGTTACAACCTCACAGCTTTAAGTGCTTCATCAGAAGATGATCAGTATCACAGGGCAGATCCTCTGCTTGTTTCCTGAAGCTTTTTCAGCTGAGATGCAACCAAACTGGAAACAGGAGTGCATCGGTGGCAAGAAAAGCTTTAATTAAAGTAAGTGATGACAGTGATCACACCTATTGCTGACACTGTGCTTTTCATCCATAGATCTCAAAACACTTACATAGGAAGTAAGTAGTACTATCCCCACTTTACATATGGGAAAATCTAACAGAGGTGAAGTGATTTGCCCAAAGTCATCCAGGGGGCCAGCAGCTTAGCTGGGAGTAGAACTGTGGTCTTCCACATGCCAGTCAAATGGTCTCCAAATGAATTTCACAGTTGTACATCTTGAGCTACCAGGAGCTCTGGTCTGGTCCTGGTTATCTGATAGTTTGCAGACATTTCAACAGTTCCGTGCTTATGGGTAGCCCCAACGATATCTAAATGATATCTATGATGTCTTCACTTCCAGGAAGATCAATGCTGCAGTGGTCAATCTTCCGGAGTTTGATTTAGTGGGTGTGGTAAAGAGTGACTAAATGGTGGTGTGTGTGTCCCCTCTCTTACAAGGAGTAAGAGAAGTCAACAGGAGCATTTCTCCCGTTGACCTCCCACTGTGAGGACAGCACCGAAGCTCGGCTAAAGGTGCATCGACTCAGCTGTGTTTTTTACATAGTTGGAATTGAGAACCTTAAGCTGACCTTCAGCTGCAGTGTGGATCTGGCCTTTGTTAATATATAATAACCTCTCTAGCTTACTTTACTCTTAACTTTGAAGTGGTGAGAGCTCCCAAAAAGTTCAGTCCCCACGGAGCCTTCTGTTAACAAATATGAAGCTTTTATTTACATACAACTTAATCTGACTTGTACTTGGGCATCTGAATTTGGATCCAAAACTTTGTCAATTATTCCCCAGACTGTTGGGCTAGGAGCATCTTCTGTACATTGTAAGAAATCTTTTGTATTTGTATTTCCCCATAGCAATTCCAGAAACTCAAACTGGCAGGCTTTAGGAGTTGCTTTGCTGAAATACAGGTTAAAGCCACATGATTTAAGTGTGGATGGGGTTGAATTATAATGGGAGGGTTTCTTCTCATTCCATCTTCTCCAGAATACAATACTTGTCACTTCATATTACCAAATTATATTTCTTGGCATTAGTCCTTTTAAAAATATTAACTTGTACACACTTAAAAAAGGCTACCCTGCATGCACAACTTTTTATGCTCTATATAAACACATCTCAGTCCATTTATAAGATTAAGCACCTACGGTCAGGGACTATATCTGTGTAAGAGTTAGTTATTATTTATCTTACACAGTGCCAAGCAGAGTGCTTGTATTTAATAAATTATCCTGTGGAATGACAATAATTAACTGCAGTCACTACAAAGAATTTATCTTGCTGGTGTCTTGTATTATAGCTTTCAAGTACCTTCAATTTTTTTTGTCATGCAGTAGTGTTTGAAGGATGCACCATGGTTTGCCTAAAACCATTTCCATGTAAGTGTCCCTGAGCAACATTGTCCATGGTTTATTTGGGTATTCTGGATCTTTGTACAGTAAAGAATGTATTGGGTGTCATTGGAAGACAAGATGCAGTTATGTATTGCTTTCTTTTACCTCTACTCATATTGCACTGCATACAAACCACTGTTTAGTTCTACAATCTTAGTAACCTAATTTTAAATACACAATTTAGTTCAATGGAAAAAATCTTTAGGAAATATTGCTTACAATTACAAATTGACTGTTTCAATTTTTTAAAAATATTTGGGGAAGATATTTAGACTCAATTCTGCTTAATGTAGTTATGTTAAATTCACTGATTTCTGGATCATATATTGCTGTCAGTTGAATCTTCTGATAAATCCATTTTTCAAAAACAAGGGAAGAAATTGAGTACTTATTGCAAAACAAAGGGATTACATGAAAACACTTGGTTAGTCCCTTGATTTTTTGAAACAATCGATTCAAACTAAGTTGAGACCTTTTTTCTTCAGAGCCATTTTCTGTTGGGCCATTTGTTTGGGGCTTTTTGTATGCTAAAGTCAATGGTCAGTGTGTGTTGCATTCTTCAATGGATGCATTTGGAATACAGAGTTAGAGAAATGTTTGAACAGAGCCAACATTCATGTTGACGTTTTATTCCCTGTGTGGGTGTGATTTGCCTTCACTTAAGAGTACAGCTTCCTGCCTTGTTACTTCCTCATTACTTGTTTTTAATAAATAATAATCATTATCTAATTATTGAACAAAAGCACCTGCCACACGTTAACATTCAAAAGGCAACTTGTAATATTTTAATCATGTAGCCTTTTTAGAAAATGGACTTCAGTTGTCCATTAATTTTGTTCAGTTCCTTAATTTTGGACTTCCTGAGTATCTTTGGGGGAAATGCATATATTTTTGGACTCCTTTAGAGGTGTCCAATAGTCAAGTGTGACACATTGTGTTATAGTCTCCATTTGACTCACTGTGAAATTAACAAATATTTGCTCTTCCCAGCTTGGTCACTTTTAAATTTGTGATGGATATGTGGAGACAATGAAAGCAATGCTGACACTTCCAAACAATTGGAGACTTTATCAGCTGTTCAAAATTTCACATTTTTTAACAGGTCCAAATTTGGGAATTAAATATGTAATTCAGTGCAGTGAAATCTCTATAATTAATAAAAATGTGGTAAGGCATAATATAATTGATGGAGCAGTTCCTAAAAGTACTAAATTAATCATTAGGACTTTAAAAATTCATATAACTAGGAACTTAATCCGGGTAAATAACGTTAATTTCGTCCTTAGAACAGGCGACTGGCAGCAGGAAGGAGTGCAGGCTCTGACAGGGAGTGTAGGGCTGGTAGTTGGGTGTAGGTGAGGGTCTGAAGTAAAGGTTCAGGGAGGGAGTTTGGGGACAGGATGGGGGATAGGAAGAGAGGGTGCATAAGGAAGTGTGGGAGGAGGGGGTGAGGAGTACCACCCTTTCCTGGGGCGGCACATCTGCCAGCCCCAGGTGACTTAAAGCACCCCAGGGTCTCCTTCTGCTGTTAAATTAGCTGCTGTTGTGAGGCTTGGACTCTTTAAATCGCTGATGTCACCTTAGGTCGCACAGGCCTGGCAGTGCTTAAGGGCTGGCTGCCCTTATGACCTGAGCCCAGAGCTGCTTCCCACACCTTGCCTAGGGGCCCAGCAATTCTGTCAGCTGTCCTGCCCCTAGACTACTCTGTTTTGATCTCTTCTGCCCTGAAGGCATGCACTCCTTCTCTTTTAAAGCTGTAGGAAGTATCTGACAGCTTGTGGAAGACCATATTGTAATGTAGCAAACCCATCTTTGCATGTGTTTTTATATACCTGCTAAACTGAAGTTTCCATTTCATTCATCTGACACAGTGGATTCCAGCCTACAAATTTATGTATGCCCAAATAAATGTGTTAGTCTTTGAGATGCCACAGAACTCCTTGTTTTTGCTGGAACAGATGAACACTGCTACCCCTCTGAAACTGGATCAGATTAATTTTCATATCAAACTAATTTCCTTACCTTGGACCAGGGCTACTCGACATGTAGCCCATGGGCCCCATGCATCCCGCAGCCCATTTGTTTGTTGCCTGCAGTGCAGTTTGGGTTTACTGTGTGGTTTGGTTTGATACGTGTTTTAGTAGTTAAATTCTTGGACTGTCATTGCTCTGTAAAAGTGCTGTCATATGGGTGGAAATCGGGTAAATATTTCTTATTAATATCAGCAGAACTGACTTAAATGGGGCCTTGCGTGTTGTGTAGGCTTTCTTTAATCTTTGTATTCATGCCTGTCAATCTGAAAGAAGCTATTTGCATATATTTGCATATATATATTTGCTTGTACATGCAACCACACTTAAGTTGCGGCCCTCGGCTTGTACTGTGGGTATCGTGGTCCCCAGGGCTTCCAAAGTTGAGTAGCCCTGCCTTAGACATATTAATACTAATTTTTCTATCTGTGTCCTCACTGAATACTGGTATGAATGGGGATATTACCCATTTTCATCAATGCTTTTGCTTGAAGTAGTATACCGTTTGTTGCCTAATGAGGATCACATAAAGTCCCATTCCTTTATTCCTTTAAAGGCTTCAGTACCTTTTGGACACTGTTTCTTCAGTGTCCAAGCCAAGTTGTTTTTATTAAAGCATATATGCCATAACAATATTAAAATCACCAACATGTATGTAATGTTGCCAGTTCATATGACAGTCTGCAATATTCTACCACATCTAAATTAATTATTTAACTTAAGTGAAATTAACTCAGTGAGCACAGAAGTAAGTTCATACACTAAAGCTTTCCCTTCGTTTGGAATGCTGCTTGTGTAAAGTGATGATAAAACTTTCGATTTTAGGATGAACTTTCTGATGTTAGTCAAGCGGGCTCAAAATCTACTACCCCAGCATCAACAACTGCTTCAGATGTGCCTATGTTATCTGCTGAAACTCCCCTGAAAGAGGACAATGAAGGGCTTGCAAAGAGTGCAGATACACTGAACAAGAAATCAGATGTAAGCAAGCACATTGAGGTGCAAGTAGCTCAAGAAACAAGAACAGTGTCCATCGGTAAGCTGCTGTAACAGTTCAGGGGTGTGGTATTCTGATATGCCATTCAATACGATGTAATACAATACAGAGGCAATCACTGGTGCCTGGAGGGAAAGAAATATATGTTCATGCTTTTTTTGAAGTGCAAAATATTGATGATATTGAAATGAGGGTCACTGAATAACTCTTGGGCTGTTCACATCATATTTTTCATGGAATGTGAAGCGTATTGATGTATTAATTGCATTCCCAGGGTTATTTAAAAAAATGGAAAGACTAGATGAACTAATTCCATCTCTCCATGATTTTCCCTTACTGCTTTATCGTATCTGACTTCAAATTTTTGAGGTAATGGGTCTGCCACCACATTCTTTGGGAGACTAGACTTAGTGTAAGGCAGGAGTGGGCAATAATTTTTGATGGGGAGGCTACTCTAAGATTTTAGAAATTGATTATGGGCTGCACTCTTCTGTGATAATGGAGGAGGTGCAGGGTCTGGGATAGAGGTTGGGAGCAGAAGGGAGCTTGGGGTAAGGGATTAGGGTGCAAGAGAAGGAGTGTGAGGTCTTGGAGGGAGTTCTTGTGAAGGAGGCAATTGTGACCTGGGGCACTGGACTGGGGTGAAGTTGTTTGGGTTGTGAACCTGGACAGGAAGGGGTTGTGACCTTGGGATGCAGGGGTTTGGGTTGTGACCTAGGGCAGAGGATTGGGGTGCAGGAAGGGGGCAGAGGGTTTGGGTCATGTGGGGTAGGGGGCAGGAGTGGGGGGCGGAGCATTAAGGAGGAGGGGCTGGAGTACCAGAGGCAGGCTCTGCCTAGGAGTTCTCGGTGACTCCTGGCCCGCAGCTCAGCACATTTAAATGAGCCTGCCTGCCTGCCTACCCCACTCCTGCACAGATGGCAGGGGTCATGTGTGTGTGTGTGTGTGTGTGTGTGTGTGTGAGAAAATAACTACAAGCTGGGAAAATAACTACAAGCTGGGAGAGGGTGGTGGTGCTTTGTGTGCTGCCTGTTTTTCAAACTGTCAGCTTCCATTGGCAAGAAACTGACCAATGGGATTGTGCTGGGGACAGAGGCAGCTCATGAAGCCCCACCCCGGTTCACAGCGGTGAAAGAGAAATGGTCTGGCAGCCACTTTTCTGAGAGGCGTGCGGGTGGGGTGAGGCAAGCAGGGAGCCTCCCTGGAGCTCCTCATCGTGTCCCCAGGCCGGATCCAGTAGCTTGGTGGGCCGGATTAAGGCCTTCAGCCCTTGCTTAAGGCCTTATCTTGATATAAATGTTTACCTGTTGCTGATGAGAGTTGTTGCTAATCTAGTACTCAGACTAATTTAACAGCAAGCAGAGCCAAGTATTCTGCACAGTTGAGAGAGAGCATTGTAAAATTAACTTGTAGATTAAAGTTAAATAGAAGGACTAATGAACAGATTCTATTTTCAAAAATGACATCACTTTTTAACTTGAGGCCAATGCAGAATTACCCCTCTATGAACTCAAGTTCCATACAATTCACAGGCTTTGGCACAGTATATGAAATCTGTCTCGAGGACCCCCACATGTGACACCCTAAGACAATAATGTACAGAGTTTTTCTTGTATGTCACTATTTAATGTGGTTAATGGAGACAAATTACCTTCCCTACCTCCTCCCCCAGGTGCTAATGAAAATGAAGATAAATCTGATGTTCAGGCAATCATTGAGTCCACTCCAGAGCTGGATATGGATAAAGATCTCAGTGGATATAAAGGTTCAAGGTAAGTTTTACTGTGACTTGAGTACACAAACTAGTATTTCCAAAGGTACCACTCTTACTCATTTTGAATTTGTATGACTTGTTCAGACCGATTGAGAGCACATGTTGCACAATGAATTCCCATGACCTGTTTTTCTTCCTTCAAGAATTCTGCTTATAACAGCAAGTTTTGTTTTTGCTGCTACATTTGAAGTACTTATGTACAAGATATTGTATATTTCATGAACTTGGGACACCTAAATGCAGTTTTCCCAGTTAACAGTATGTGCAAAAGAGGGTATTTACCTTTTTTAAGAGAAGGGCTCAAGATATGGTTCATTCCAATTTGGATTCTGGGTTTTTTTTTTTACCCACTCCTTTAAAATCCTGTCTACCTCCTTATGTTGCAGTATCATTACAGTATTTATCCTTCATAGTCATAAAAATGGTCGTATTGTCAGTGGTCCATCCAGTCCAGAAGTCCTTTTGGCCAGTGACCTTTGCCAGATGCATTAAAGCAAATAAACAGATCAATCTTGAGTGATCCGTCCCATCATCCATTCCCAACTTGTGATATTTGGAGACATTCAGGCACCTAGAGTATGGAGTAGTTGCCTAATGCCATTCAGAGCATGATGGCAGAGGTGTTTGTAAATTCAGATGCACTCCCTACTCTCACGCTACTGGCAGTATGTTCCTGGCTTTGAGACTTTAATTCCTTGCTGTCTGAGAGAATGTAGGGTACACATTTCAAGAGCTCATTAAGTCCCATTGCAAGTCATTCACTTAGGAGGCCAAATGCTGACGTCACTTCTGAAAATGGGAATGAGTTGTGGATATGGCGACTTTGATGCTCTGCCTTGCTGCGCACTATGCGTACTGTGCTAATCTGCTGGGTATTTAGTAGTTCTGTATGGGTCCTGCTATCATGAACTGAAAGTCCCAGTGTGCTTACTTCAGAGAACACTAAGTCTGTGCAGACAAGTCCTTAGTCTTGTAACACACTTAGGCCCTGCAAAAGGCTTTGCTCACAGCAAGAGTACCTCCTTGAGGCCAGATGCATTGTATTTTACCCACTGCCAAAGTTGCACTGTCACTTGCAGGAAGACACACAACTGCTGCTTGGCCCTCTGGACACATCATGCTTTAGTCCACCACTGCCTGTAGCTGGCAGCGAAGGTCTGCTCCCTGGACTGCTTCCTGCTTTTTCCATCCCCTAGAGAGAGACTACAGGCTCTCTCTCTGTCTCTCTCCCCCTCCAGCCCATTTTCTGCTATAGGTTTCCTCGTTTTTGGTCTCCCAGATGCTGTCATGTATATTAATTGGTCTCTCTGGTCACATTAACTGCTTCAGGGCCATTCTTCCAACATAATTACTTCAGAAATGTCTCTCAAAGTTTTCAGTTAATTTCTGTTAATGAACGAGCTATAAGTGCAGCCATCTAAAATCACATTTATCTGTTTCTGTTCAACTGTGTGAAATGTTTGAAAGAAAAAAGAATCAACTATTAGACTTCTAAATTTTTAATTTCAATTTCATTGTTTAGCACTCCTACCAAAGGTATAGAGAACAAAGCATTTGATCGTAATACAGACTCTCTCTTTGAAGAGCTGTCTTCTGCTGGCTCTGGCCTAATTGGAGATGTGGATGAAGGAGCTGATTTACTGGGTAAGACAAGCTAGTTGACGACATTATTAGTGTTGTTGTAGCATATTTCTTGTAATTTAAGCTCCTTGTAAATATATTTCCTGTTAAAAATCATTGTATTAAGCTCCTTTTTCAGTGTCCTTGAAAGATGGTATTAAAGTTCAGTTAAGTTAGTAACCTTCAGGTTAGGTTTTTTCAGTGTGAAACGCTAGTAATACTTTCTCGTTCAAGTGACTTTTGTCAGTATCAAGAAAGAAACAAGAACACTGGAATCAGTCTTTCCACGTTTGGCTGAACTTCTGCCACCCTATCAGGTGTCAGTTGTGATGACTAAATGTTTTGGATATTACTCAGTGAAGACAAAGATTTTATTTTCAGTGAGGTTCTGAATACAAATATAATAAACTTGGTGACTATTCAAACCCTGATTCATTTCAGTTAAGATAATTCTTCTAGTTGCTGCTGCCTGAAGCTGAGTAAGGCTCCATTTTCCTATACTGGGAAATGAAACCGTCTCCTAGCTTATAATGACTTTTCTGTGGTATAGCATGTGGTTTTAAAATTTAGCCTCTCATCAGTTATTTAAAATGCTTGCTATGTTTATGGCATGATACAAGAATGTGTTTGGTGCCTCATATTTAGGACGTTTTCTTACAAACTAATTCTTTCTAGTTTTGTGCAATCAAATTAACATTATTTAACCTTTTGGATAACAAATTGGGCCCTCATCATACATTTTATATATAGTTCATATTTGGAATTTTGCCTCATATTGTGTATTGCTGTTAAATTGTCAAACATGTTGATTTTGATTGAGAACCAAATCCTTTAGAAACACTTTAGCATCTCTTTTGTTTAACAAAAAGCAACAACTCAGTAATGGTCTCTACTGAGCTGAGGGGCAAGATTTGCAGTAAATTCACAGTCAAGCAGGAGGCTGGTCAGCAACATGTTTCTATGGGTGCCATGAAACTTTTACTGTGGCAAAACAATTATTATTTTTCAGCATCCAAACTTCATTATATTGAATAGTTGGATTAGAGAACATATCCTAGCGCTTGTCTTCACTGCCATGCTAAATCTGCACCTCTGCAGTGCGTCCAGTGAAGACACATTAAGACAATGGGAAAGCACTCTCTAGTCAATATAATTACTCCCTGTCAACGAGAAGTAGAAACTATGTTGGCGGGCAGTGAACACAGTGCTTTAAGTTGATGTAAATTATGTTGTTTGAGGGCTAGGTATTTTTACTTCTGAACAATGTAACTTGCATCCACGTAAGTGGTAGTGTAGATAAGCCCTTAGAAGTAGCTAATTTTTTAAGATGGAAAATGAACTCTACAAAAAGCACAAAAAGTAGTTTGACTCTCAATCTTATTATATAAGGGGGGCAGGAGTAGGATAGAATTTGCAAGGACTTAATGTAGTTTTGTGTAATCTGAATTTCTAGTGATTGTGCACTTTCCTGAATATTTCTTGTTTATTGGGGAAGAAATTGAATAGAGTTGCACTGGAACAGATTTTATTTTGAATAGGCAGCAGCAATGCAAGTTACACCTGTTGCCATTGTCCATAGTGTGGAAAGACCATCACTAGGGGAAAGAATAGTTCTTCTTCTAGAGAGATGTCCCCGTGGGTGATCCATATTAGATCAGTGCACCGCCACCGAGCCCAGTGATGGAGATTTTGACATCTGTACTCCTGGGCCGCACGTGTGCCAGCTGAGAGCGCCACACTCTAACTGCCTACACTGCACATTCGCGGGGCCCCTTTCCCCTCAGTTTTTTCTCTACTGCCTCTGACTTCAGACCGATCCTTCATCTCTCCTGACAGCTTTTTTCTTTCAGAGAGTTTCTCTCACTAGAATTAGACCTCTCTCTCAGAATTAGATAATTCATCAACAGGAGATCTCTAATAGTAAAACAACTGCGATGAAAAAAACTATTTACATTTTGCCTCTTATAGACACTGCGCTTTAAACTGTGGCAATGCTTTTTTTTTCTTTAATTAAAAAAAAAAAAAAACTCAGACACAGCAACTGACAGTTCAGCTGTCATAAAGATGTAAGGAGTTAGGACAACAAACTCAACAACCAGGCTAACAGACTTCAATACGATTCAGGGTTTTACACTCCCTGACCAAAAAAACCCAAAACCCCACAACAAAAAACAGAGAAAGGTAACAGGAACAGATAAAAGAAAACAACGGAGTAAAAGAACTTTAAGGGAACCCCTATCACTACAAAGTGCTCCGGATTAACAATGCCCGGATACCCGGGTTTAAGCATTGAGAGACCCGTAGGGAGGCAATCCCAGTATTGGATGGACATGAGAAATGCGTCCAATGCCTGGGTGAAACTCATGCCTGTCACAAATGCCTTCACAGCTCCAAGATGAAGGCAAGAACCAGAAGTGATAGAGAGCTCATGCTGATGCTTATAATGCTTGAAAATGTGTTATGACCTGCCTTGGATCCAGGACAGCCAGAAAACAAAAAATGCAAAGAGAAGGCACCCGCAAAGAAACGGCCCATCTCCGTGCCGAATGCAGCCCTGCCTGCAAAGAGGCTCTCTCCCAAGCGTGTGCTGGCAGTCCTACCCGCGGCACTTGCACCTCAGCACCTTTGACATTCCAGGCGTCTCTGGCACTGCCAGCATGGTGCCTGCATGGGCAGGGGAATCCTCCTCTCACCCCGGAGCTTCGGGCTTCCAGCTGCACGTCCTCCCAACATGGGGAACACCCCATGCCGAGAGCAGCGCATCAGGGAGTAATGCTGCCACTCTGCATTCACAGCACCATGGCAGTATACATTGCAGGGCGACTTGCTGATCTTCTCCACACTCAATTCTCCGATTCTCGGCTCACCTGCCAAGCCAGCCTCTCCAGCAGGTCTCAATCAAGGCTTCTCTGACTCTGAGGGAGAATCTCACGGGTCTGTCAGGACATTCACTATACTCATCTGCTCCATACCAAGCTTATAATAACATGGCCCCCTGGTATCCAAACCCATGGTGACCTCCGCCTATGCCTTTCCCAAAGTGGCAGTACTGGGGGGGAGGAGGGTGGCACCCCAGACCGAGAGCTAAGTCAAGTCGTTTTCAGCGCACTTCGCATAAAAAGCAAACGTTACAACTATCTCAAGCAGACACTGGACTGATCACTGAGAACATACCAGCCAGTCCTGCAACAGCAATCAACAGCGATAAGGCAGCTCCTCCACCAACCCTGTCCGCATCCAACAACTTCGCTTGTTTCCAGGACTTGCTCAAACGAGTTGTGGCAGAGCTTAATATACCTTTTACAGGAAGTATCTGAGAACCAGCATGAACTAACAGACATCTCACGTTCGGCTTGACACTTTTGGCCGAAAGGTATATGCCTCATCCATCCTCCAATTCAGGGTGGCCAATTATGCCACCTTGCTAAGCAAATACAATTTTAAAAACTACTCCAAAATCCGGGAATTCACCGCTGCTATTCCTGGGGCAAAGAGACATCAATTTGAAGTGCTACTGACAGAGGGCCAGACCATAGCGAACAGTCCTGCAGGCCTCCCTTGACGTGGCCGACTCAGCAGCATTCACCACTTCAGTAGCCATTGTGATAAGAAGGGCAGCATGTTTCATGACCGCCTCTTTCCCCAGAGAGTAATAGAGATGTAGCCGTGTTAATCTGATCTTGCTGAAACAAAAGAGAGGACTATGCAGCACTTTAACCATCTTGTTAGTCTTTAAAGTGCTGCATAGTCCTCTTTTGTTCCCCAGAGAGGTACAGTCCTCGGTAGAAGACCTCCCTTTTGACGGATTGAAACTTTTTTTGCGGCAAACACTAACGAATTACTGCACTCTCTGAAGGACTCCAGAGTACTTTATGCTCTCTTGGCATCCAGAATAACACTTATCAGAAGAGGAGGCAGTTTAGGTACCAACCCTATCCCAGACCTCGCTTCCAGCAATACCATCAGCAGTATCACAGGCAAGACCTCTTCCAATATGGCAGGGGTAGGCAGCAGCATCGGTGCCCTCAGTCGGCTACTTTGCATCAATCCCAGCAGCCTGCCAAACAGATTTAATGAGATGGGGAGGGACTTTCTGGACCCTCAACTAATTCCAGGGAGGTCTACATCAGCTGCTCTTTTTTTATCATAGTCTGAGACCCTTCTTTCAGAATTGGTAACGTATCATATCTTACAGATGGGTCCTCCAGATCATTAAACGTCGGTATACGATCCCCTTCGAATCCATACCCCCTTCCTATCCCAGTCTCTCCTCAGGGACTACTCTCACAAGACAACACTACTTCAGGAGGTCCAATATCTTCTACACTTAGGCGCCATCGAGCCAGTCCCGGAGCACTTCAGGGGAAGGGGTTTTTACTCTCAGTATTTCTTAACCCAGAAACGACTGGGGGGATGGAGACCCATCTTGGATCTGTGTGCTCTAAATAAATTAGGAAGCAAAAATTTAAGATGGTGACACTGGCAACCATCATACCTGCGCTTGAAAGGGGACAATAGTTCTCGTCCCTCGACTTACAAGATGCGTATTTTCACATTGCAATTCACCATGCTCAGATGGTTTCTCTGCTTTATTGCAGGCTCTTCTTACTACCAATACAGGGTCCTTCTCTTTGGCCTTTCCATCGCCCCATGGGCTTTCTCCATTGCTGTGGCCGCCCTTAGAAGGCATCAGAACATGAATACCAATTAAACCCCAGCATTCTCTCCGACATTTTCCACCACTGGGGCCTATATTTGCCGCTGCCACGAACAATCAATGCTGACACTACTGTTCCAGGGCGGGCATCTGTAAGGGCTCCCTGGGCGATGCCTTCTTACTCAACTGGGCACAACACCTACTCTGTGCTTTCCCATTGATACCGCACCTAAACAGAGGGATACACAAAATCAGGAGGGACAAAACTCTCCTAATCCTTATAGCACCTGCCTGGTCTCAACAGCCGTGGTTCCCTTTCCTGACCAGTATGTCCCTCGATCAACCCATCCACTTACCTATCTTCCAGTACCTCCTCCTTCCCTCACCATCACTGTCTAAGCCCTGGAGCTCGCTTCTCTCCACCTCACGGCTTAGCTCCTCAACGGCTCCTGGTCATAGACCTTTCATGTTCCCACGAAGTATAAACAGTTCTTTTCCACAGTAGAGCCCCCTAGCACACACACAACTTACAAACCACCTCCATTTGTGCGTGTAGGATGGTGCACGCAAAAGAACCTTTCACCAGCCACAGCACCAATGCCTAATATCCTTGACTACCTCCTCTACCTCAAACAGGACCTGCCTGGCACTATTTTCTATCAGGGTTCACCTCGCTGCTATCAAAACTTTCCATGTCAATATCGACGACACCTCAGACTTCGTGCATCCCCTCACCCACAGGTTTTTGAAGGTACTCCAAGCACTTTATCCAGATGTAGCCTCACATGTGCAACCATGGGATCTCCATCTGGTACTAAACACGCTTATGATGCCTCCCTTTGAACCCATGGTTTTGTGGTCCTTGCTGCATTTGTCTATGAAGACAGCATTCCTCGTGTCCATTACCTTGGCTAAAAGAGGGGGAGAAATCGCAGCCCTCTTGGCTAACCCACCTTATACCATTTTCTTCAAGGACAAGGTCACACTACGAACCTACCCTAGATTCCTCCCAAAGATTCATTCCTCTCTTCACCTCAACCGGACCATCCATTTACCTACCTTTTTTCCAAAGCCTCATGCCTTGATCTTTCTATCTACAACGCACCAAGCCCTTTTGATCCTCTCCTAGACTCTTTGTCTCTATAGTGAACCATAATAAGGGCAGCGCCATATCTTCACAGAGACTGTCTCATTGGATCGTGGACTATATCAAGCTCTGCTATGAGCAAGCCCGTGTGACTCCTCCAGACGGAATAACAACCCATTCCACCAAGGCAGTTTCCACCTCTATTACCTTCCTCAGGAAGGTCCCACTACCAGACATATGCTCGGCCGCCACATGGTCCTTGGACCACACATTTGCTAAACACTGCACTTTTACAGGGCCCTCTATCGAACCTCAGATTCTCAAAATCTGTCTTATCCATTGCATTCATTCCTGACCTGAAGTCCCTATCTCCTTGAGGAGACATGGCTTTGTAGTCATCTAATGTGGAGCACCCACAGGGACATCTCTCGAAGAAGAAAAGGAGGTTACCTACCTCTGCAGTAACTGATGTTCTTTGAGATGAGTGTCCCTGTGGGTGCTCCACTACCCTTCCTTCCTCTCCTCTACTTTGGGGGTTTTGCTTCTATGACAGCAGACTCCGGGGTAGAGAAGGAATGGGGGGAGGTAGAGGCTCACGTATGCGCAGTGTAGGCAGTGAGCACATGGCACACTCGGCCGACGCATGCGCGGCCCAGGGGTACAGCTGTCAAAATCTCCATCACTGGGCTCGGTGGCGGAGCACCGACCTAATGTGGAGCACCCACGGGGACACTCATCTCGAAGAACGTCCGTTACTGTAGAGGTAGGTAACCTCCTTTTCTGTTCTTTTCCTCATGCTCTGGACTTCCTTGCTGAGACCACAGGCAATGGTGGTAACTATGTGATGGGTTTTTATGTGGTCTTCTCTTCCTAAATTTGGTAGGCATCCATAACTCACTTCACATGTCCTCATACAGTGGTAATTTCTAGTTGCCACTGATATTTTTGTAGACTATGAGATTTCATAGCATGTTATAAACTTAGTGCTGTGGTGAGGAACCATTTTTGGATTGGTGTCACTGACTCACAGAAAAATCAGTTGGGGGGCCGCACAAAAGTGAAAGCAAAAAAAGGAACAAAAATCCTCATTGACGTAGCTCCCAAATGAGAAGCAGAAAAACACTTCCCACATTCCTCTTGCTCTCCAGAGCCCGGGGGCCCCCAGACCAGTAGATATTCGTGGGCCCCCTGAGGCTCTGAGGTGGGCCCAAAAATGAGGGGTTCAGTGTTTGGGAGGGGGCTACTTGGAGTTTGGGGCCTTAAGGTTTGGGGGGGTCTGGGAGGGAGGGAGGGTGCAGGAATGGCCTGGGGTGAAAGGGCTGAGTGGGAGGTATAGTGGAGGTGAGAAGGGGGGAGGAGTTGTTTAACTCTGAAGGTTAATGGATGAGCCCAGGCTCATCAGTTAACCATTTACACTATCAGATCCATAAAAGGATTAGGTTTAGTAAAATAATTGTTCTCTAATATATGCAATAGGCTTCTCATGTGTTACATGAAAATGTGTTGACCTAGTCACTTTCGATATGATTATATTGATTGTTTCATTTATGTAGCATTACAATACATGGATGTTTTTGTCTCAGAAGCATACATTTTCCTAACTGATTCATCACACATAAGCCACATCTATTTACAATGTGTTGAATGTGTTTTTAGAATAGAATAACCCGCTAAATTAACGTTAGCATTGAGCTTCTAGTTCCATAAAATCCAGTTAATTGGGATTCTCTGATCTGTTTTCTCTTGGGCTGCATACCCAGGGGAATATTCTGGTGTGTATGCTTTTAAATACTTTCAAGTTGTCGCTTTTCAGTTAGGCATTCTTGGCTGCTGCTTTCATATAATACATTGTCTGCATTTTTCTGCTTGGAAACATTTTTTGCCTTTGCGTCCTTTTGGCTTTCCAGCTGCTTTTTGTCCATATTCTTGACTGGGTAGGGATCCCAACAGTCATTTGCATTTAGCGCACATCATCCTAGATAAGCTTGTAAAATAGTTTTTCATATATATTTTTTTAAGCAAAGCCATTCTTGAAACAATCAAACCCTTCTGATAATTGCAGTAACAGACCTCCTCTGTTTTCTCCATCTGTTAGCAAACTGAAAATAACTTGTATACCTTTAACTTACTACAGGCTAACCTTCTCTAGTCTGGCACTCTCTGATCCGGCACCATCCATGGTCCAGCTTGATTTTAGTTAGCCAGAGGTTCACTTATCACGGGTGTGGCCAAGTTTCCTGCAGTCATACAAAGTTTGTTTACAGCCACCAGTCCTGGCTCAGTGTTCTATGCTATTATTTAGCTCTAATTTACCACTAAATGTCTTCTAAGATCCCAGTAATCAGTGAAAGTGTAGGTAATGCTTCTAGACAATATTGACCTCCTATGGTTTGGCAAATTCTCTGGTTCGGCACCAGTCAGGTCCTAAGGGTTCCGGACTAGAGAGATTCAACCTGACTTCCAAGCTAAATTTCAATGAGCTGTATAAGAGGCCTGTTGCTGCTCTTTTAGGGGAATATGATATTTAATTATTCGCAAGATTAAATAAATTTCAAGGTGCATGCCTATTATAAATGTTACTTTTTACTACTATGTAGATGTGTTCATTTTTTATTTTTTATTATTTTTTTGGCTTTATCAAATATTTTGGAAGATGTTACTATGTTTAGCAAACTTGTCAAAGCCTGTTTTCAAGGAGAGTAATTCCCTGAGTTTTTTTTAGTTTGCTGCATACTGCTAGCCTCTAGTTGGCATAATTTCCAATTGCTTCTGTAATCAGTCTGTACATAACGCTGGACTTCGTTGTCTTGAAGTCATCAGCTGAACAAGACTTAAAACTATTATTGCTGTTTTGTACTTTTAAAATATTAAATCTGTACTGTACTTTAAATGCTCCAGTAGATTCTCATTCTACTTAAAAAATTCTGAAAGCATGTTGGTAGTAATATATGGAACTTCCTGGAAATATGAATGAACCTTATGGTTGAAGTAAAACAATTGAAAGCATTTAAACCTAAAACTTGGAAACTTTTTCAGTATCAAATATTTTTATCTAAATTTTGCATTGATTGGGGGGGTTAGCATTTGTTCCAAATACCATGTTTCTAAATCATGTCACAGAAGTGAAGATTGCCTTTTAATCCATTATAACACTTTATGCTAGGCTAACTCATTTTGCTGTCTGTCTTGCATATCAAATCATAGCATATTTAATTTCATATTTTCAGTGCTGGGTTTTCTTCACTGTTACAGTTTACAAATTTCTTGATTTATTGCTTTTCACTCATACTACTTCTTACATTAAATGTTTCTTGTTCTTGTTTTTGCTCTACATGGAATGCATGGGCTTTAAAGACCGTAATTTCTTTGGTAAGGTATCATCTGCTTTGGGGAGATCTTCAAGGCTTTTAGACTATCTCTGAGCTTTCTTGTCAGCATGCCCTATGTATTATAAAGGGCATACCTTGAACATCAAATATACTGTATAGGCTCTTTTTCTAGAATACTTCATTGAATTTGAGCATTGTAAATGGTTAAATTTTCTTCTTTATTAATGACCTAGATTTTCTATTTGACCTAATAGTGCTTTAACCTTTCCCTAAAGCTTGTGATTCATTTTGGGTAAAGCAACAAGACCGTTGTTAGCCAGAGCGGTCTTCAGGCGTCACTTGGGGAAGGATGAAAGCAAAGCTTAGCAGAGAAAGAAGAGAGAAAGATCTTTAGATATTTGCTCAGTGGGATTATTTACGTTGCTCCTGTGAGGTGCTTTTATAATCCTCTTGTTAGGTAGAAAGAGACAAAATGTAGATAAAAATATTTTATTTAAAAATGGTTAAATTTGATTTCTCTATTGTAAAAATATTCATTCTTTTTCCTTAAATTCATTCACTTTCTCTCCCTTGGAAAGGAATGGGCCGTGAAGTTGAACATCTTATTCTGGAGAACACCCAGCTATTGGAGACCAGGTAAGTGGCAGTGTAGATTTTAACAAGGCAGTACTTCCTGCCTATTCCCTCATCTCACTCTTTTTATCATTTTCTTAAATGCATAGTGCCACATGGGATCGCTGACAAATAATGAAATCTTTTTACTTATTAAATGGTATGTATTAATATTCAGAGCTGCCCACAGTTGTGTACTGTATTTGGCTCTTTGAATGGAGCACAATGTATTTGATTTTGTCTAAAAGGTCACTTCAGTTTGCCAGTTACTTTTGCTTGGTAGACTTGTATTGCACTCTACCAATGTTCTCCATTTCTGTTAGCATGCTGAATATTAAAATGATGCAAAAACTTTAATTAGAGCAAGAAATCTTGTCCTTTTTAGTAAGCTGCTAGTGTCCAATTAAAAAAATAAGTGTGTACTGCATGCTTCTGCATTCAGAGAAACCTAGTGGTCCTGGCTTTGTAGTAGGGTTGCCAACTTTCTAATACCTGAAAACCCAACACCCTTACCATGCCTTTTCCTTCAAGCCCCACCTTCACTCCATCACATCTGTTTCTCCCCCACCACTCCAGTCACTCACTTCCCCACCCCTGGGACTCATCTCATGCTTGCAGAACAGGGGTGGGAAAAGCTGACTTGACCCTGATCAGTCAGAGCACAGTGGGACATGGAGAGGGGGTAGGAAGGGAAAATCAAGCCATAGGTGTGGGAGGTTCTGGGGCATAGGTCACAGATGTCCTATATGGACAGCACTGGTACCTACTTTGGAGCCCCATCTGGGATCCAGCCAGTTCTCACCCTCAGGTTGTGGGTGGTGGGAGAGTGGGGAAAAAAGTAGCCACTAAGCAGAATGGCTCCTCCAGGCTCCAGCAACATTTGCTGCTCTTCCCCAACCCCATCCCTCCAGTGGAGGACAGTTACTGTCAGTTTCACTTTACGACTGGATGTTCCATTGAAAAGTGGACACCTGACAACCCTACTTATAAGATTCCTTTGACTGAGTATGTATGGCGTTGCTGGTGTTGTGGGTTTTTTTAGGATTTTTGAGGCCTAAGTTGTCCAATGTAAATAAAGGTTTAAAACAAATTTTGCTCTAGGAACCTGGCCAGTATGTCTTCTAGTACAATAGCAGCATCCTACAGCTTCTATTATATGCATGTCTTCAGTATACAATAGTACTGCTTGGCTACGGTAATTTCCATTAAGCATGACTAGTATCACTAAAAACTGGCCAGAAAGTTTAAATGGAAACAAAATATTGTCAAAATATATTTTTTCTGTCTGTTTTGACAAGCTGCTGAAAATGTGTTCCAATTTGGAATTGAATCCAACTATAGGAATTTATTTGCCACATATGTTACTTGAATTTGAACTTTAATTTCATTTGGACATTTTTATTTCTAGCTTTTTAGCAGCTTTAGAAAGAATATGGTAACACTTAAAGTCAGTCATCTGTTTACAACCCAGTGACAGTGCTGCACATTATGTACTTTTTAACCTTCTTTTAGAATGTGTAAACTTCTAGTTGCTGCATATAACACTATATAATAATACTAGGGATGTTAAAAAGCGTGTATTAGGGTGACCATGTAACCGCTGAAAATCTCAATGTTTACATGGTTACCCGCGCTGCGGATTCTGCAGTATAAAGCTTAACTTTATACTGCAGAGCCGGCAGCAAAGCCGCCTTCCCAGGAGCGGAGCTAGCAGCCCTTGCTTGCCTGGCTCCTGAGGAGGAGGCTTTGCTGAGTATAAATCACACAATTAGCAGAAAAGCATCTGCTTATGGGTTAAACAGTTGGTCGTTTAGAATCAAATATTCCTAATTAATATTATACAACACTATTTAATTGGAGGTTTCCAAGTATAGGAACTAAACTATGCTAGTGTTTCTAACCTATGCACTGTGAGGTTTCAATGGAGTTGTTATAAAAATGCATTCCAAATGTCTGTTGCATAGAAATGCGCTGAATGTGGTAAAGAATGATTTGATAGCCAAAGTGGATGAACTGACCTGTGAGAAGGATGTACTGCAAGGTGAACTAGAAGCTGTAAAACTAGCGAAGCAGAAGCTTGAAGAGAAGAACAAGGAATTAGAAGAAGAGCTTAGACGGTAAGTGTTTAATTACTGTCCTCATGAAAGTTTAGAAATGTCCACTAAAGAGTCTTTTAGTTATCTCATCTTTTCTCTTTCTTAGAGCTCGGGCAGAAGCAGAGGAAGCAAGACAAAAAGCAAAAGAGGATGATGATGTACGTGTATATTTAACAAGTTTGTCACACTTTTCAGTCATATTCCATCATTTTAGTTTAATTCTGTGAAGCTTACGTTACTTAATCAGATATAAACTATTTTCCTCGTGGAAAAGGGTTGAAAAGTGAAAAGAGTAGTCCTGTAGCACCTTAGAGACTAACAAAAATATACCTATAGTATCATGAGCTTTCCTCAGATTAATCTTAGGTTTTTGTGAGTGTTGCCCAGGAAAGCTCATGGTATAATATCTCTCCTTTTTTTTTTTTTTTTTTGCTTAGTCTTCTAGCACCTTGGAGTCTACTCATTTTTTTTTTTAAGGTTACAGACTAACATGGCTACCCCTCTGAGACTTGAAATGTTGAGGGAAACAAAATCTCTCATCTAGACTAACCTTCTCTAATCTTTTCCTCCCTCCTGTTCCCTTTAGTGAACTGATATTGGCTTAGTTTCCACTGGCTATTTATTGATTTCTGGATGGGGCTTAAGGTGTTGTCTTAAACTTACAGAGCACAAAATGGTTTGAATCCTGGCTACCCAACTCTTGCGTTATGCATCCAAGGCACTTAAACTAATTGCTCTGTTCTCTAAGCAGAATGTGGTAACTGACTTCATGCCCCAATATTCCTTTGTAGAACTATAAGCTTGCTTTCTGTATGTGCAGAGTGATGTTCCTACTGCTCAGAGGAAACGTTTTACCCGTGTTGAAATGGCCCGTGTCTTGATGGAAAGAAATCAATATAAAGAGAGATTGATGGAGCTTCAGGAAGCTGTACGATGGACTGAAATGATAAGGTAAATGATATTAGATCCTTTGATATTCCTTTTGTGGTGTTAACAGACTGATTTCTGGAGAGCAGTGTGATTTTGGTGACTAGGCTGCTGATTTGTAGCCAGGAGACCTGCAATCATTACCATGTTTGCCACAAACCTGTGGTTACTTTGCCATGAGCACTCCCCCTCTCTCGTCCTCGGTTTGCCTTTTTTGCTGTTCGACTTATCATATTAGACCCTGACCCTGTATAAGATGTAAGCCAGGGGCGAGGAACCTTTTTTGGGTTGGGGGCTACTGACTCAGAGAAAAATCTCTCAGAGGCTGTACAAAGTGAGAATTAAAAAAAAACTTCAACAAAATCCTTGCTGATGTGGCCCCCGACTGAGGAGGAGAAAGACACTACCCACATTCTCCTCACGCACCAGAGCCTAGGGCGGGCCTAGGCTAGTAGATTTTTGCGTTCCAGCCCTACAGGGCAATGGTGGGGGGATGGAAGGGGACTGAGGCACCAGCACAGGCTCCCCAAGGCTGGGGGTGGGAGCCTTAAGCCTTGGGGGCCAGATTCAGGCCAGTTGGGGTCTGCATCTGGCTCCCGGGCCTTAGGTTCCCCACCCCTGATTTAAGCAATCATGAAACACACACCATGGAAGCCAAAGGACTCCTCTCAACTTGTAACATTAAGTGCCTTCAGTCTTTGCAGCCTTAAACTATAAAGGCTTTTGGGGCAAGAAGAATTCTCTTACTCTGCTTGTACTAAAATCTTCTAAGACAGTCATACAGACAATAAAATAAAATTGGTCAGTGGCCCAGATGTGATCATTAAATCAGAATTGGTTGGTAACCTGAAGTAAAAGTAAGGGTACAAGAATTATCAAGATTAAGAAATAAAGACTGGAAATAGAACAGTCCAAATCAGTTAGGGTACGTCTACACAGCAGGGCTATTTTGGGATACCTCTTTTTAATGCTCCCACTATTTTGTGATAGGTGTTGAAATAGTGGATGCACTATTCTGGCATCCCTTCAATTTTCGTTCCACAAGGGCTAAGGGATGTCTTGAAACAGCGTGTTGTTTCAAAATTTGGCACTGTGTAGATGTGCCAGATTTCAAAATACACTATTTTAAAAATGTAATCGAAATAAGAGACACAATTTGCACTAAGCAAATTGCCTATCTTATCTTATTTTGAGGTTAGGGTCCTGTGTAGATGCACTCTTCTATGCTGAATTTCAAATAAATTATACAGCTTTCCTTCCAGGTAGTTAAATTTGGATTCTCATGTCTGACCTCAAAGAAAAGTTCGTTCTTGTACCACTAATTACCTCTCCCATGTATCAGCTACAATATACTGCCATCTAGTGGTCAGGCGTAATAACATCTAACATTTACCTATCTGTCAGCCCCAGACAGAGGGGCTGAAGAGTCATTTTCCCATATTCCTGTGTGCGGGCTGGTGGTTGGATTAATAGAGAGCCAAATAAAGGAAGCTCTGATAAATGAGGTTTTATTGTAATTGATAAAGTAAAATGTTTGATACTGGTTTCTGGTGCTGAAAGTGAACTCTTGCTTGTCTTATCTAAAGACAAGATTCAAGAATTAACATCTCAATTTTTTAAAAACTAGTGTTTAAAAAAAACCAAACCTGAAAGTTTCAGTTTACAAAAGGTTTTTTTGAAGCAATATCCACTGCTCTTGCTGTACCTCATGGAATAACACTATAAATAAAACTGGTCTTAAGAGTAGGTAGGTAAGAATGGAGGGGGCTGACTTATTGAAAGGAAAGTACTCTTCAGTTGCAGCTGAGTTTAAATGGTAAAACTATACTATGACTTGAGATTTTTTTTTGCATGTTATGAGGGGTGTTGACACCTTCATCTTCTGTGTCCTTGCCTCAAGGAAGCAACTTATACTTAAATACCATAGTTGTAAGGTGTATGGGAATACACACCTTTTGTAGTATTGCTTAATTAGTCAACCTTAGATTTTTTTTTTCTTTAGAGCATCAAGAGAAAATCCAGCCATGCAAGAAAAGAAGAGATCAAGCATTTGGCAGTTGTAAGTACTAAAATACAGGCAGATTCTGCTAAATAATGCCGAAGAGTTGGTATTAATGCTTTTTGTGTGCCTTGTTAATTTCATTTTTAGACTAAAGATATTTAAACTGCTTCTCTTTTTGATACCTAGTATGCCAGCTTAGTAAAGCTGTTCTCGAAGACAAAATATATCTGAAGCTATATCCTATTATAATTAGCTATGCATTTAATTTTGAATGTTTGTGGTTTGCATGTAATTATTTCAACACTAAAAAGTTTTCTTACCCCACAAAAATTTTTACTGATATTCTTTTTTGAATTTTATTTAGAGTAAATAACCTAAACTGAAAAAAAAATGAAATCCCCATAACCTTACATTCTCTTTTTTTAACGTTAATAGCTTAATAGTTAACTGTTAATAATTCACCTCTCATCTGGAAGGCTTGTAGGTTCACTGATGTAGAGAATTAACAGGGATAAAAGGTTGTGGATTCACCAGGATTTGGGCTCACTTGCAGTTCACTTGGGGGCTAATGCACTCTTTTAAAGAATTCTCTTCAACTAAGAACATAAGCTACCTTTTGCCCATTTTTGGTGAAAGTTTAAGTAAAACTTAAGATCTGGTATTCCTGTATAGCAGGCATGTCCAAAGTCCGGCCCGCGGGCCAATTGCGGCCCGTGTTCCGATTTAATACGGCCCCCGCTTCCTCCCCCTCTCCTGGCTCCCCGGCGCTCTTTTGAACTGGCACGCCCAGCGCGCCGCTCCCGGCCGCGCTGCCACTGCCGCCGCCGCCCATGGCCTCCGCGGCCCTAGAGCCTGCCCTGTAGGGCACGTCCGCAGCCCCGCTCCCCCGCTCGGCTGCGGGTTCGCCCTGCCCCCGGGCCGCCGTGAGGCCGGCGTGCCCTGCGCTCTCCGCCCACCTCCGACCCTGCGGGCCCTCCGCCTTGGGGCTGAGAGTGCGGGGACGGCCCTGATGCATGTTCACTTCTTCAAATCTGGCCCTCTTTGAAAAAAGTTTGGACACCCCTGCTTTAAAGGAAGATGGGATAATACCACTGTTTAGATTAGCAGGCCTTTTCTTATTAACACAGGTTCATGTTAAGCTGTGTGTAAGCTATTGCTGAGCACATAATAGCTGCTGTGTTTGGGTCCGTTTCCTTCCAACAGCTATAATTCATTGCTTTAAGCAGCGTAGTGTGCACAGAGTCCAATGCGCAAAATAGGGTGACCAGATGTCCCAGTACTAGGGGCTTTGTCTTATATAGGCGATCTGTTATCCCCACCTCCCCTCCCGGTCCTGATTTTTCATACTTGCTGTCCAGTCACCCTTGTACAAAAGGAGTCAGTTTTGTTGGGTGTGTATAGACTTGTCAATAGAGCCCTACCAAATTCATGGCCATGAAAAATGCATCATGGACTGTGAAATCTGGTGTCTCACTGTGAAATCTGGACTTGTGTGCTTTTGCCTATACTATACAGATTTCACAGGAGAGACCAGTGTTTCTCAAATTGGGGGTCTTCACCCAAAAGGGAGTTGTGGATGGTTGCAAGGATATTTTTAGGGGGGATTGAGGTATAGCTCCTCAGACTTTTTTGTGGCCTTCAGAGTTGGGCAGCTGGAGAGCAGCAGTGCTGGTTGGGCACTCAGCTCTGAAGGCAGCACCGCTACCAACAGCAGTGCAGAAGTAATGTCTCAATACCATACTATGCCACCCTTACTTCTGTGCTGCTGTTTTCAGAGCTGAATGGTTAGATAGTTAGTGGTGACTGAGGGCGCAGCTTGGCAGGCAGTAGTTCGGCCTTCGGCGCTGGGATCTCCACTATCAGCAGCTCCTTTCAGTTATAACACTCATGAAATTTCAGATTAAATAGTTTGAATCATGAAATTACTTTTAAAATCCTATGACCCATAAAATTGACTGTGAATTTAGCAGGACCGTGCGTATCAAGCTTCTTTTGACTTTCAGTTTCAGCAGGCTCTTCAGTTCATCAAGCAATACTGCTAAGAAACCAGAACCACCTGTTAATCTTAAGTATAATGCTCCGACTTCACACATTACTCCATCAGTCAAGAAAAGAAGCAGCACCTTATCTCAACTACCTAGTGACAAATCTAAAGCCTTTGACTTCCTCAGTGAAGAGTAAGATTAATTTTTGTTTTCCCATTGTAACTTATAGTAGTAATAAACATATACAGGTAAAAAATATCAAGTGACCATAAAGGTAAACAGGATAAAAATAGCACTAATGCTCAGAAGCTTCAGGGGGTAGCCAAGTTAGTCTGGTCATCTGAAGAAGTGAGCTGTGCCCACGAAAGCTCATGATACTGTCTACATGTTTTGGTAGTCTGTAAAGTGCTGCCAGACTATTGGTTGTTTTTTAAGTTTATTTTTTTTTAATGTAAAATTTTAAAAAGGTTTGACAAGATAAACTTTGTGCTGCTTTTTCTGCATAGTAATGGAGGCTGGGATGGGACACAAAGGCAAAAATTGGAAGACGAGGAAGAGTGTTCCGGACTGTGATGGAGTTGATGCTCTCAACTGCCAACAAGCTCCTTCTAAATGTGAACGGGAAACAAAACAAAACAAAATCATAAAGATTAAGGATACAAACCCTAGTTATGTACTGCTGCTGTGGTTTCTATCAGATAACTGAATCTTCCTTCTCCACAAATTGGCAATTCATAGTTCACAGTAGTCTTTGAATACATTTCTTTTAAGCTCATTGGGAGAAAGCAGTCATAGACTTAATTGTCATAGAACAGGGGGTGGGCAAGAGCCTTAAAGGCTGGATCTGGTCCACCAAGCCAGTTGATTTGGCCCCTGCTGCTCCCCCACCCCCAGGCCAATCGAGACCTGGGGACAGAGCGTACAAAGTGTCCTCCCCCACCAAGGGAGTGTGGCACCTAGAGTGGATCTGGCAGCTCACTCTAGGCACTGTGCATGCCTTGTAGGGTTAGGGTGGGGAGCAGAGACTTCACATGCTCCCCCGCGCCCAGGCCCTGAGTGCTTGAAGTCTCCTGCCCTGCAAGGGGCACGTGGTGCTTTGAGTGAACCCCCAGCTGAAATAGTTGGCAGTTCTCTCTAGGTGCCAAGGGTGGGAGGCAAAGACTTCCCACTGCCGCAGCGCTTCTAAGGGGCAGAGTTGCATGGAGCCCAAAGTCAGCTGGGGACTCTAGCTGATCCCGTGCTCCGCCTTGCGCTGCCCCTTTGAAATGCTGCCGTGGCACTTCCAAGGGGCAGTGCTGCATGGAGCTGGGGTCAGCTGGGGACTCCACAGTGGGCTTCCACAGCACTGCCCCTTTGAGACTCCGCTGCAGCATTTCGAAGGGGCAGCTGCACTGAGCTTGGGATCAGCTAAGGACTCCAGTTGATCCTGGGCTTCCACAGCATTGCCCCTTTGAAACTTCGCCGCAGTGTTTCAAAGGGGCAGCACACGTGATTAATTGTGATTAATTTTTTTTAATTGCTTGACAGCCCTAACTGTAATAAATGTTTATGAAAATGGTTTGGATAATGTTTACTCTCTATGGTTTAGGGGACAACTTCTGCTATGACATACCTACACATTAAAAGAACTTACTAAGAGAAGGGGGCTGAGTTGTATTTGGGGCCAAAAAAAATCAATTTTTTCTCTAGATCTGAAGCCAATTTAGCCTCACGCAGAGAACAGAAACGAGAACAATACCGCCAAGTGAAAGCACATGTTCAGAAGGAAGATGGCAGAGTGCAGGCTTTTGGCTGGAGTCTGCCGCAGAAGTACAAACAGGTACCGTGGTTACTTATTAGAAGGTATCTAACAATATCCAGTAATGATTATTATGGTTAAACTTCTAAGGCTCCATAAAAATGTGGTGTAATTGTTAGTTAGCTTTTTAATAAGTCTGTTTTCTGAATTAGTACCTTGAAAAGTCAGCATTAGTCATTCAACTGAAGGACAAGGGCAACACAGAACTCTCGCATGTCTCTCTCTCCCTCTCCCTCTCTTTTCTTAAAATGTAATAGGAATTGCGCATTAATTTGCAGGAAGGCTGGGATCTCAAGGCTCAGTCCTTTAAAAGAGAATAAGTTTAACTCTGTTTAAAAAAGCACTGAAATGTTTTTGCTGCCATCTTTGTTTTTTTGTGTGGCGCTGACCAAACTGATTCATAAAGCAAACCAGCCCTCAGTCATGGCAAAATGTCTTTTTTTTTTTTTTCTAGGTAGCAAATGGTGGTCAGGGTGATAACAAGATGAAGAATTTGCCTGTGCCAGTCTATCTGAGACCCTTAGATGAAAAGGATACATCTATGAAGGTAGGAATTTTAAAATTATGAAAATTAGAATATATAGTCCTTGATGGAGAACAACGGGACCTTAAACGGGTAACTTTCTTGATCTGAAACTGAAAATGTTGGATGACTTTCCTTACCTGTTTAGGTAATAAATCTGGACATGTAAAGCAAATGAGATATAGAATGTATACTGCAGTGGAATCATACTTATTTGACTTCACATTCATTTTCTCTGTATAAAAAAATGCATAAAGAATAATCATTTCATTTTCTCTGCTGATATATCTTCCATTCATTCTACTGTTAAATAAAACTTGACCCCTCCCCAAATAAATTTGCATTCTTAACATTGTGCTGGTATTTTCTTGCACTGTCATGTCCCACTAGTTCCTTTGTTACTTTCATGAACCAAAAAGGCCAAGTGTTTTACAAATGAAATGCTTATGAATGTTTCTCTTTCCAGCTATGGTGTGCTGTAGGAGTGAACTTATCTGGAGGGAAGACAAGAGATGGAGGCTCTGTGGTTGGTGCCAGTGTATTCTACAATGATGTAGCTGGTTCAGATGCAGACGGGAACAAGCACCATACAGGATCTCAGAGTAGCTTAGATAGACTAGACCAGGAGCTCAAGGTAAGTTCAGTTATGTACTGTTACATTTTAAGCACATATTTAAATAGCATTATGTTAAATAATAACTTAATTGGTAGCAGTTTTGCTGCTCAGCAATAGATAAGCAATTTTACTCAGGTAAAATTGAAATTTCAAGATGACAAACCTGGTGCTTTGTATTGAATTCATCTACTGAAGTAAATATTCACATTTTTACAGGCTCTGAAGTAAATCTACATGGGTCGTGTAAAAATACTTAGCTATTTAGTTACTCGGTATACATACCAGCATTGCCAACTTTCACAATTCTGTCATGAGTCTGTATTTTTATGTATTTCTTAAAGCTCCGGCTTCTGAAATCAAGAGATTGCATGAGAATCTCATCTTTCATTTTAAAAATGTTTGTCATGAATGAGTGCAAGAAAAACATGAAGACTCCCTCAACTAGAAAGCAAAGAGAAAACTCAAAACTTATTTTTAAAAATTCTCATGATATTTAAACTGAATCTAAGGATGCTTTGGGGCATGGCTCACAGTTATTAAACACTTGAAGTTGGAAGTACTGGGCGAGATTAAAGGCATGTAAATGTAACTCTTCTTCTGACACCACCAGTCTTAGTAGTCATTGATTAAAACTTTAGTTCTCTGTGTAGTTTCATCACTTTTCATTTAGTTCCTACTCATGTTTGGAATGTAAGTTTTATGCCTTCCTTGTGCATCTGGGAAACTTAAGTTCAAGTACACTTTCCTTTTGTTTTGTAATTGTATTAAACATATGCCTAGCTGTTCATTATGAGTTTTACATAATATGTGTGTCAGTATAGGACCCTACCAAATTCATTGTCCATTTTAGTCAATTTTCACTGTCATAGCTGAAATAATGACATTTATTACTCAGATTCCTATTTATATTTCTAGGGGTCATGACCTGAAAAGGAGTTGTGTGATGGGGCAGGGGGATTACAAGGTTATTGTAGTGGAAGTAGAGGGGTTGGTTCTGCTACCCTTACTTCTGTGCTGCTGCTGGCAGTGGTACTGACTTCAAGGCTGGACAGCTGGAGCATGATAGCTGCTGGCTAGAAGCCCAGCTCTGATGGTAGAGTTGCTGCCAGCAGCAGCAACATCTCAGAAGTGGGGTGGCAAAACCATAGTATGCCAGCCTTTACTTCTATGCTGCTGCCTGCATTGCTGGGCCTCAATAAGCATCCACTACTCTCTAGCCTCCCAACTCCAAAGGTGACAATGCAGGAGTAAAGAGGTAATACTGCAACCCTACCAAAATAACCATGAAATCTGCCCCCCTGTGAAATCCCTATAATATTAATATAGGGTAAAAATACATAAAGAAACAGATTTCACAAGGGGATACCACATTCATGGTCTATGGCTTGTTTTTCATGTTAATCTGTTAATTTGGCAGGGCTATATGTATATACTTTTAAAGCTGCTGCCACCTGCTCCCTTTTAGTATATTAGTACATCTGCTGTTGTGTGTATTGCTCTTGCAGGAGCAGCAGAAGCAGTTGAGACATCAGGAAGAACTCTCCAGTTTAGTTTGGATCTGTACTAGCACACACTCCGCCACAAAAGTGATCATCGTTGATGCTAACCAACCAGGAAACATACTAGACAATTTTATTGTTTGCAATTCTCACGTTCTTTGTATTGCTAGCATTCCAGGTAAGAGAATCAGGCTATCCTGGTGCCAGTTGATTTCTCTTAGAGTGGTGAGTGTTCGTTTCAGAAAATTTGTGCCAAAATGTTTGAGGTGGCAATCCTAAAAGGAATACATAGTTCTGTGATTGATCATTATGATAAACATACACTATAGCAGACAACATATCTGAGGGGAAACCAGATTTAATCTTATATCAGTTCTATGCCATTTATTTACTTCCTATGATCCCCCAAATACACCATTATCGTAGGTTAGAGCAGCCTTTAACCACACCAAGGCAGGAATGTGCCTTTTAGGACCAGTAATCGGGCTTGCTATCTTCTGATACACTGATTTAAAGTAAATAGTCTCTTTAGCAATGGGAGTATTCTATACATCTCTGCATTCACAGTGTGGTTCTAATTTTATTCTTTATTGATCCCATAGAGATGCATGACACCTTTCATAGGAGACAATGACATCCCTCACCAAGGAGTTTTACCATTTAGCATTTAACCAAAGAAACGTTTAATAGACGAGAGTATGTAGGGAGGGCAAAGAGAAGTAGGTGGATACTACACTTCAGGCGAGGAGGTTGGTTGCACTATGTGCATCTTGTAACTCATATATGAAAATCCATTAAAAAATTAGCCTGCAGTGGAGGGTTTGTGAAAGGGTATGAAAAAGCAAGCTTCTTTCAGTAGAGGTTTAAGCGAGACTGCTACCGTAGCAAAGTTTAAAGCAAGAAGGTTTTCTATGCATAAGAGGTAGCCTGGAAATAACATATGAAGGTGCATATGTGGAGATGAAATGAGAAAGTGTTTAGACAGGGTATGTTGGGAAGAGTAGAATGTGCAGGAGGCAGTGTAGAAAGGCAAGTAGCAGGGTGGAGTTGTACAAGCCTTGAAAGTAAGACAGGAAAACAAACGTCTGTTGGAACTACTTGAATTAGCCTGCATATGATGATTCTTACAATTGGGATTGTTTTGAATGATACACTTTTCAAACATTGTATCATACAAAACAAAATCAACTTTCTTGTCTCTGGAAGTGTGTGTGTGTGTGTGTGTGTGTGTGTGTGTGTGTGTGTGTGTGTGAAGTAGAAAAAATGGAATTAGATGTGGCTCTGTTAGTGTTTTTCCCCCGTTATCAGCATTTGTTTTCAGTTGTACTTTTAACTTGTCTGCAGAGTTTTGCTCAAACAAAAACCTGACATAAAAGCTTTGAGTGTGCAGTACTACTTTAAATCACTTAGTCCACTTTTAATTTAAAGGGGATTTCATGGTTTAAGATGCCTTTTTGTGTTGTCATTAAACAAGCTTTATAAGATATTCTATACATATAACAGTCAGGCATTGTAGACTGTAAATATCTTTATTGTCCAACTTGTATCTTGTTGCTTGATCATGCACTGTTTTACTGTAGCCAAGAAATTAATCTTAATTTAATCTGTTTTTCAGGGGCTACAGAAACTGATTATCCTGTAGGAGAGGAAGGGTCACAAGAAACAGACTCCAGTCAGGTGGACAGGACCTCTTTGTGTGGAAGTATGACCAGCAACAGCTCAACAGAAACCGATAGCCTATTAGGAGGAATCACAGTGGTTGGTTGTACAGCAGAGGGTATCACAGGATCTCTCATGATGCACAATGCTAATGGTGTCTCATCTGTGGCAGAAAAACAGCCAGGTATAAAAATATTCATCTGTGTATGTTTAGAATTTTAAACAGCATCAAAACAAGTTTAATAGACCTGCATTGGAGGCAGATGAAGATACTAATCTCAGCCATTGGAGACCTGTTCTGCCGCATGGTTTTTATGTAGTCTCTCTGACTCAGATCTCCACCTGTAAAATAGTAATATAGTATTAGTTCCCTACCTCACAGTAGTGACAGACTAAATATTCCAACATCTAAGAGGCGCTTCAGATACTGTGGCACTAGGGATTGTGTTAAGCACCTCAGATACAGAAATAGAATAACAGAGCAGAGATTGATTGAGAGAAACCTGGTGAGAGTATTAGTTCAGTGAAAAGCTGTCTTTTCATGGCTATCAGTTCCTTATTCTTTCCCATTTACTGTGGGCTATGAAGTGGAATCCAAAGGAATGGTGTATGGTATAGGGAAATAGCAGGCAAAGAATTTTTAGTAATTTGCCCATGCACTAGGGATATAAAATCCCATTTAATCAGTAAACTGGTTAAACATTACGTTGAACTGATTTAGTGAGAACACACCAGCGAGGCTACCTGCTCCTGACCCCGCGGAGCTGCCAGTTAACTCATTACCAGTAAGCATCACCCAGTGAGCATCAAGAGCGTTGGGTGATGCTTACGGGTAACCAGTTAACTGGTTACCCGTTCACATCCCTACCATGCACTTGCCACAGTGTCTATACACAGTTTATTTCCGTTAAAAATTAACTTAAATACTGTGTTTCATAGAGACTGCAGCTGAAAATAATGTGGTAGATGAAAACGTTCCGACAGCAGAGGAAGCAACAGAGGCAACAGAAGTCACTGCTGGGTCAGGAGAAGATGTAGCTGATCCAGCTCAAACTGGAGTATATACAGAGCATGTCTTCACAGATCCTTTGGGGGTGCAGAATACAGCAGAGGGTTCTCCAGCATACCAGCAAAGGTACATGCTCAATGTCTGCACCACTAAAATATATTAAAATTTAGTAAATGTATTTTAGAGCACTGTTGCGACAAATGTTCATTTATTGTAAAGAATGCAATGCCGTCATTTGGAAATCACTATGTAACTAATTGTAAAGGGTTTCACTAGGGGTGTGTGTGTGTGTGTGTGTGTGTGTGTGTGACACAATGTTTTGGGCTAGTTTCTCTCTAAAGTGGCCTCAGGTGATACTGAAGAGGATTTCCAATGTAACTTCATTCTGTATTCTATGCAAGTACAGATTGGACCTCGCTGTCCAGCACCCTCGGCACCTGACTCGTCCCAAATGAGGGGATTTGCCAGACCAGGGAAGATCCCTCATCTCCTGGCCTGTGTTGCCACCAGGTTAGGGCTCCAGTCTGGCCCTGCTGCTGCCCCAGCCCCC